CTGCATGGATTGATCAAGTTAAAATGCACTTGATTTTTTTTAATTTCGTTTTTAAACTTGCTTGGCGGCACAGTAGGATGCAACCGTTTTTTTCTTGAAAGAAGCGGGGATCGGAGTGGGAGTAAATTCTAAGCCTACATTTTCTACACATTATGAAGACAATAATGAACATTTATAATCAAATTTTGAATTTTGTATTGGTAGATTCATTGCCAACTGGGGTAGCACCCGGGATGGCAAGGATATGTTCAAGGTGGCAGCTGCCCCACTACAGTATATGATCAAAATGAGTATCTAAATAAATAAAATCAAATTCCAGAAGGATGGACACTGAATAAGACGGTGTGTTGAATTTGCTCAATTTTATTTCATCAAGTGGTTGCAAGAAATAAAATCATTTTTTTCAGTGTACACATGGTCTTGATTGAGTGTTTAAGTTAATGGAAAATTGAAACTGCTCCACCTCTGTTTTCCAGAGATCTTTGGAACTGTGTCCTTACTATTTCCCGAACCAGAACTAAACAAAGTGAAGCAGCATAGTACGTATAATATAAATCTGAACTAAAAACTTTGGTCTTTCCTGCTTTCACATGAATCAAAGATATTGGCCATAATTTCCTGATGAGCAAATCATTTGAGATTAAGGGGCAATGAAGGTGTGTAAGAAAGACACCATACTGTATCAGTATCCCACCGTTATATACTTAGTTGGAACAATGTAGTATGGCAACTAAACTCAGACTCAAGTCCATCTGCCTGATGAGTAGATTTTGCACCTCATTAAGAGACATTAAATTGCACAACTGAGACTCAAACGGCGAGACAACCATAAAAAAAAATGTAGAAGAAGAGGAACCACCGAGACGGTTCCATCAAAGCTTCGCCGGGGTCACGGCACCTAATGCGGGTAGTCGGAGGTCGGGGGAAGCTCTGTGCTGCATACGGAGCAGCAACAGCTTCCGTTGGCTACTAGCGCCACAAAAAAAAAAAAAAAATTTGGACTTGCTCCTATATCAATAATCATTGCCTGCGAGGTGGGGAATAAGCTACATTTCTGAAACGTATCATACTCATGAAGAAATGGCAAGCCATGTTAAATGATAAGCTAACCGAAGACTGACATGTTTAGCGCGTTTAACACTGCAATTAAGTGCTTGGGTGATCGTTACACTTCATGACGTCTTGCTGGAACAGCGTTAAAGCGGAGAACATCCAACTTGGAAACCGAGTTTTGACTTACTTTTGAGGTCTGCAAAACACATGTTCACAAAATGACATTGCAGCAGACCTTTTTGTTTTTTTGGGTGTGCTTCTCAACGAGAAAATCCACTTTTCTGCTGTACATAATGTCAATTTATAAACTATTGATTCCTTTAAAAAAACAAAACAAAACATTTGTTCATTCATTGTGTTGTCACATTTTAATGTTTAATAAAACCCCGACTTCAATTCCCAGAGATTAACCTAAAAAAAATGCTCCACAGTTAGAAAGTTGCCCCTTAAATGATTCACAAAATTGCTCCGCCAAGGAAAGAAAAAAAAAAAAAATCTAGCCTTGAAGCATGATACACCTTTTCTCAGAGCACATCCTGACATTCTCCTGAGTCCAATATCAGCACATTTTACAACATTCCACATGATGCTTACAAAAAAAAAAAAAAAAAAAAACAAACTCTGCAATAACATTAAGCTCCCCACTCTCAGTGCAAACACCGTGAGAGCCAGGCCTGGACATTTTTAGCACACCAGGACGCCACTCTGTAACTTAACATGCTCCCACAATTTATGGCTGGTTTGCTGTGGTTCCGCAATGCATGTTCCATCCATGTGCTTGTCTTGTTCACAGTCACGAAGAAGTTGGATCAATATAGAAGGAATGACTTTCTCACCAGAACTGAATCTTGAAAGAATCGGGTTTGAATGGAGACCACCTCCTCTTGCTATGTAGCGCACTTGAGTTTGAAAAATATGTTGACACATGACCAAACAAAATATCACCTAGAAAAGGAAGACAAATTAGAACTGGATCAAAAGATTCAAAACACCTTGAAAGGGTGCTCGTTTGAAATCACCCTAAGAGATCAATGGTCTGACTCTGACCTACATGGACAGATGTCAGTCAAGGCACTTTGATTGACCGCTTGGTTGCATTACTAAAGCAAGGGGGTTTGCAAAGTAAGAAGACTCGTGATGAATATGTTTGGGCGGATGTACATCTAATCTGGTGTGCAATAAGCGCTTCCCTCGGGATATAACTCCCCGTGGGGAATCTTTTTGGAGAAGTGTCTTTGGCTAGTAGGCATAACCCTTTGCACTTTGTCAGCACACTGAACAAGGTTTTGTCAAATTCTGACAGTGTTGCTATTCCTGCTGAGATCAGGCAAACAGTGTAATACATCTTTTATTTATGTAGCGCTTTCACAACAGCTGCAGCTGTAACACAGTGCTTCACAGATATAAAATGCCAAATATTTTTACAGGGATAGCATAACCCTCTCGTGGTGTAGTGAGTGTTATTTTCCAATCAAAGGAATAAACGGCACACAGAGAGGGAATAACTCTACATCAGAATTGATTCCCTTGCCTTGCTTGCGAGTGATCACCGTAACAATGTTGGAAATAAACACCACAATGGTGTCTCTTTTTAAGTAATGAAGCAATCTAAATATTTACCAGTACATTACTTGTCGTCGCATGACTCAGTGGTAGAGTGGTTGTTTTCCCAACCCGGCGGTTGGTGGTTTGATCCCCGCCCATTGCAACCATGTCGAAGTGTCCTTAAGCAAGAATACCATTATGAAAGCTCAAAAAGAAAGCACTATACAAGTGATAGCCCATTTAAGCTTCTCTTTGCTCTTACCTGTGCCTGAACAACCGCACACTGCCTTGCACAGACGCTCAATCACAGGCCATTCCGTTGTAAAGATGGAGAAAGTTCGTGACATTATGGCCTGCTTCAAAATGCCTTTAAAATGTCATAACTTCCTTTATTTATTATTTATTATCCTAATTATTGACATATTGACAGCATTTAAACAGCGTTTTGTTACTTTATTCCCTCTCTTTCTGGCGCCATTGGTCTGGGGGAAAAAATGATTTTAATTGTGTTGCATCTATTTTGTGGACCATCTGGTGTTGAGGAAAAAATTACTTCCCAGTTACGGAGAGCATAAGGAGCAAAAATATTTTCTACTGCGCATACACACGAGTTTAATCAGCAAATAATAGCTTGAGCGTGCACATTGAGCGTGCACATTGTCCCACCATCGAATGCAGATAGATTACCAATGCATGAAGTCACCACTGGCTGATTTAACTGTATCTGTTAGGAGATTCTCTTCCTGCGGAGAGTTTGCCTGTTGCAGTTTTTTTCCAGTATTATGATGCTATTAGAATTTTTGGTTTTCTGTTATCTGTCTTGTGTTGCTCATTTTCGGTTCATCCCCAAATTTCCAAGTGCTTGGCATCAAAATAGATCGTACCTTCATTTCCGTGCCAGCGCATGTCTTTTGTAGGATGTTTGGGGCCGTGTTATGCCTCTCTGAGGGTTCATACAGATGGAGTTGCCTCTCCCCACACTGTAGTCTGCACTCAGCGTTAAAAAAAAAAAAAAGGCACATCCTCATTTTCGCGCCGGGGCAGTGGTCAAGTTCAGCATGTTTGTGAATTCAGTAAATGCCACCTGCAAATTTAGTCGCAAAAAGTCGACACGGTCTTGCGGGTGCAAGGCGGTCTCTAATTTCCCACGTCACATGCACGGCCCACCACATCATCCGCAAGGGGGGATATTGCAGTTTACATGCCACTGTCACGCCCGGACTTTAGCGAGTCTCTTATGTTTCCGCGATGTCAAGTCCTGGTGCGCTTTGACCTCCCTGATTTTGATGGAAACGAGGAGAGCATGCTTTGATTGGCGGCAACTTTTTATGTCTCTCTTATTAATAGCAGCGTGGTGGTTGGGGTTGGTGCCATTGCATTTATATTATTTGGTTCAATATTGCTTTTAATGTGTTTGCTATGATCACATGGAATTCTGACGTTTATTTATTCTTTCAAGTTCTAAAAAATTGCATTTGTTTTGCCTGTGAGTATTGCTGATTGTGAGTGCAGCTTCTCGACATTGAAACTTGTATATGAATATATGTATAAAAATATCTGGTGCCAACAATGTTAAGTGAATGGTTAACACATTAAACTGTGCTCAGCATTGAGAGAAAGTGTGCAAAGGCACTATCGACATTGTCGTTTTGCTGGCCACCATAATAACTGCCGTTTTAAATTGGCTGAACGATCTTAGTGAATATATCTGATAACTGTAAACAGTGTGAAAGACTGTGATTGAATGTAGACTGTGAAATATAAATATATCCAATAAAAACTCAAATTGTAAGAGTCGCGATAGGCTCCACCACGGCCGCAACTCTCGTGAAGATATGCGGTCCGGATAATGGATGGACCTTTTTGCATAGGGCCTCCACATCTGGTCCTTGTGAGCCCCTATCCAGCTTATTTTATATGCAGCCTTGTTCCAACACATTTAACTCAAAGGATCAGCTCATTAGCAAGCTTTGCACAAGCCTGATAATGATCCTGAACATTTGAATCAAGTGTCTTGGAATTGGGTTACATATAAAACAGGCTGGACAGGGGCTTACGAGGACCTGACTTGGAGACCCTTGTCCGACAAGAACTGAGTTAGCGCTCAACTTGAATCAATGTTATTCATGCGACATGCATAAAACTTCCCAGTGAATGCATAAAATAACTTGAATTTGTGCGTGCGCGTGTGAGAGTGTGAGCCTGTGTGAGTGACCTCATACGCATGTGGGGGGCGATAACCTTTACCCTCCAACTAAACCTCATGCTACCCCTTGGCCACTTCAGTTAAATTGTTTCAATCCGCCTCTGTGGAATTGATTTCATGGCGTAAAAGATATGCACGCGTTATTCCCTCTATTCACACTCTGTTCACATTGTTGGTGTTCATTTTGTCCCCATAGGGCTGTTTCTGCTCATGCCTGTTCTGATGGCACCAACGCCGCCAAGCATGTGCACTCCCTTGAGGACGCTTGATGACAGTCTGAGCCACAGGCGACGCTACATGGTAAGAGAATGATGGCATGTTTAACGCCGTGCCACATGAACCACTTCCTTGAGAGCTGAAGAATGCCGCACAGCTGAGCTGATCAGGTCATAGTTGTGTAAAATGGATTTAAGATTCAACTTGCTGCGTTTTTTTTCAGTCATCAATCGTGTGTTGTTTTGGTCATTTTGTCCAATTTGAAGACTTGCCCTTCAGTTATTTTTGACAACAATCACAAGGAAGATCAAAAATAGCAATTTTCACAGTGTGAGTCAAATGACTCCAGAGGAAATGCAGCTGCCTGAGACAAATGAAGATGAAAACCTATTGGTTCTGTGGACTGTGTGTGGATTGTGAACGCAAATGGTTTGTCGATGTGTGTCCTGCGACTGGTTTTCAACCAGTCCAGCGTGCACGCCCCCTAGGGGGTCTTCAGAATTGATATATTTTAGAATAATAGGCCTTGCGACGCCACTGTTACAATACAATACAATACATGCTGATTAAATAGCGCTTTCACAACAGCAGCAGCTGTAACAAAGCGCTTTGTTCTTAAACTTGCTCAATTTAGTTAAACCACTTACTAGATCCTGTGGTGAGAGTGGTCAGGACAGAAAATAGACAACATATGACTGATTTTTCCGTAATCTCCAGCGTGGTCTGAATGATTACTTACTCATTTGCTCGGGATCCAGACGTTTTGCAGAAATACATTTTTCCAATAATACTTCATGTTTTAAAATATTTTTTTTTCACCAAATAGTGACACATGATGCACACAACACTGGCAGGAGCACAGATATGGACAGAATACAGGCTCTACGTATGTTCATCATCTTTAATTTTGCATTTGTGCCTGCTCGTAAGACTCCACACTTGATCTGCGAGACTGCTTGTGAGGTGGCCTCAGTAGGTGCTGCTTCTTTTGGTTAGCACTGGCATTCTCCTCACCCTCCCTCCACCTCCGTGTACCCTCTGCCCGTCTCAGCACGATGGGATGCAGAGCTTTCAGCCGCTCTGCCCCCAAACTCTGGAATTCACTGCCACCCAACATCGGTAATATTGATTCTCTTCCCAGATTCAAATCCCATCTCAAAACCCACCTATTCAAAATCGCATACTCAATTTAAATTCATCTCTTCTTTTACTATTTATAATTTTATCTGTGGTTTTATTGTTTTTGTTCTTGATTGTAAAGTGTCCTTGAGTGTTTTGAAAGGCACTTATAAATAAAATGTATTATTATTATTTTTATTATTATTCAGGTGGGTTCAGTAACCTGCCATTCTTTAATTTCAGAGTCCAGTAAATAGGGATGGGCAACACATCTTTATTGTCTCGAATTCGAGAAATGAACATTTAAGATATTCATATCGAAATAGGCGATGATATCAGTCATGTGACCTTGCCATACGTGCGTTGCATGTAAATCACACTTCAATGCATCACCTTCCAAGTTTGGCAATGATTGACAGTAAAAAAACAGTAGATAACAATTGAGACTGCACACGTGCAATAAATCTATTTCCGTGTTCGCTGTCAAATGCATATGGATGGTACACACATACCTTTAATGTCTTTTGGGACATTACCTGACTATATTTATAATTTAAAAATTACCAGCGGCTAAAATACCAGAGCTTGATGAAAAGTCAATGTAACATTTTGTATGGAGTGAGTGGTTAACTTTTTTTTCTTCAAGACGTACAACACATCCATCGATATTCTGAACCACTTATCCTTAATATGGTCGTGCATGGACAAATTGGTACATAACAACACATGCGCTGATGCGGGGCAGCTGGTAAGCATGTCCGCTTAACACTGCAGAGGTCTGGGATTCGATTCCAGGCTCCGGCTGTCCTGTGTGGAGTTTGTATGTTCACTCCGTGCCTGTGTGGGTTTTCTCCGGGGACTCTAGTTTTCCTCCCACATTTCCCCCACCTCAAAAAAAGAAAAAAACATGCATGGCATTTCAAGGGAAAACGTGAATTTGTGAATTTAATTATTTTTAATATATTGCTGAGTTTGTTAAATGTTGATGGCTGTCAGTAAGTTCCAATAAAAAAAAAAAAACACTTTGCACATCATTTTGGATTATTTTGCCTTTTCACTGAACCCATCGTGATACCATTATCACATTGTTATTGAGATATCCGGCAAAATGATAGAAATATTACATTTTAGCCATATCAGTCAGCTAGCGGTAAATATTATCTTCCAATTTAAGGTAAAGTGGGTGTCTATTCCTTGAAGTGTGGGGGAGGTGTGGGGGGCATTTGTTTCAAGTGGCTAACACACCCATTGAGTAGAGAGACATAGTGTCTATGGGAGTGGAGGCCACAATTCTTGGAGGAATTATAAGAGTTCGAGACCAGTCATTGAAACCAGACTTGGTGTTTGAACACACTGAATGTTTTAATTCAATTTGTAGAAAATGCGTTCAAGAACAGATGTCTTCATATTTGCGCAGTTTACTTTGTTGTCTGTTCCCCACTGTACACCAAGACAGTCTGTCACTGCTCTGAAATGTGTGAATCTGTCTTGGTTTGTGGATGTGAGACATCCAACTGGCAGCCACTCTTCAGTTTATGACAAACTCCTTAGTTGAATGTAAAAGTAAAAACAAGGAGAGGAAACACGAGGAACCTGCGGTTGAACTGGGGCTTTAATCATCACGAGTACAATGAGTGGATGGGAATATTTGCAACGTTGTGGAACAGTGGTTCTCAGAATTTTTTCACTGATGTATCCCCTGGGATATTTTTTCAGGCAAGTACCACTTTACCCACCGCAAAGCATTTCTGGATGAAAAAACAAACAAACAAAAAAAAAATCGAGTGCTGTGCCATCAGTGTCTGATTTATTAAACTTTGCAATTCCATTTCTAGTTGTATCTTGAGTTTCAGAAAATATATATGACAAAAAAGAATTATACATAAAGACACACTCACCTCCCTTGTGTGTGGACAGCGTGGGATCGGTTCCCAGTCAGTGACAGTGCGGATATGGGTGCGAATGGTTGTTTGTCTCAATGTGTGGCCTGCAACTGGCAGGCGACCAATTCATGGGGTCGTCAGCCTTCTGCCCGAAGTCAACTGGGTTAGGCTTCAGCACACCGTGTCCCTTTTCAGGGTAAGCGGTGTTGAAATCAGATGGATGGATGGATAAGGTGTCATCCATTGGGATCATAGTACAGATATGTCAAATCATTATCTTAATTTTACAAACCCAATTCCAATGAAGTTGGGACATTTGGTTGAACATAAAAAACTAAATACAATGCTATGCAAATCATGTTCAACCTTTATTTAATCCTTTCATGCACCCTGTAACCTGTCCAATGTAGTAACTGTCCTGAAATGGGTTAATTGAATGCACTACAAAGACAAGATGTTTAATGTTCAAACTCATAAATGTTATTTTCACCAAATAATTATTAATTTTATGGCTGCAACTTGTTCCAAAAATATTTTTATAAATTACAAACTTGAGGGTTTTTTTGTGTTGCAGAAGCACAATTTCCCCATCAACTACACTGTCAGGGTTCATCACGAGGAAGTTTTTAAACTATCAAACATCAGCAAAATGGTAAGCGTGTTAATATTTCTACTTGAATCAATATTTCATTTCAGTTTGTTTCTTTCTGGTGAACAGTGCTCAGCTCCTCTTCCTCTTTTAGAAGCTACGGATGGACAACTTAGAAGAACTTCACCTTCAGAGGATGTGGTTCCTTGTTAACCACAGCGTGTTGAAAAGGGTAAGCACTCATTTGTTGTATAGATAGTCCTTGGCTTCTGCAAAGAGTAAGAATTTTTTTTTTTTCCGTCTGTCTCTCTGTACCAAGTATCCACCACGGATTGATTGGGGATTGGGGACCACTATTTCTAAGATGCTGCATAGTACTGTGTCAGCCCTGTTATGTATTTTTAATGACATCCTTCTGGGTAATGACACTGGAGACTGTTTGCCTTGCTCGCTCATTTGCAGCACCAGATGGGCAATTGTGGTAGTGCTCTAGCGTGGTTCGGTCCTACTTGGCAGACAAAACGTTTTGTGTTAGCGTTGGTTTGTTTGCTCCATTGTGTGGTGTTTCAAATGGTTCAATTTTGGGGCCCCTGCTGTTTTCATTCCATTTTCTTCCCCTGAGTTCCATCTTAAGAAAGCATGACATTTCTTTTCACTGCTCTGCATACAGGCTGCCACAAATGATTATTTTGCCCATCGACTAATCACCAGCAGTACCGGAAGTGACAATTAGTCAACTAATCTGATCATTGGTATATTTCGGCATATTGCAACAGCATGCTGGTGCCCTTATGTAACCATAATTAACTTATAGCCTAAATCTTTAAAGGTATGTACACGTTAATAAAGGACACTTAAGATGATAGGTCATTCACCTTCGATTCAACTTTGCAGCTTTTACCAGCATTCCAAACGTATTTATACATGATGGAGCAACTAAAAATAAAGGTGATGCTTAAAGTTGTTTTTAGCTGTAAATGTTTAGTGCATTTTAAAAAGAAACTAAAAACTATACATAATGCAGAGTTGCACTAATATTATAAAATTACAAAAAGAAATACTTGTACCGTATTTTCTGCACTATTAGGCACTTCGGAGTATAAAGCGCAACTTCAAAGAATGGCATATTTTAAAACTGTTTTCATATATAGGGCACACCGCATTATAAGGCGCATAAAATAGAAGCTACAATGGAGCTTTTTCCACGAGATGGAGCAACGCCAAAGGGAATACAATACAATACAATACAGCTTTGTTTGTATAGAGCTTTCCCAACCGCTGCCGCTGTAACAAAGCACTTTACAAAAGATTTATAGTACTACGTCCAAGAAATCAGAATATTTATCTATATATAAGGCACATCGGATTACAAGGTGCACTGTCGGATTTTGAGAAAATTGAGTGGTTTTAGGTGTGCCTTATAGTGCAGAAAATATGGTAAATATATTTCATTTTTCTTGAGCACTTTTTTTTCTTTAATGTAGAAGGTAGTGAATCCATTCATCTACCTATTATCTAATCCACTTGTCCATACGGGGGTCGCGGGCGAGCTGGAGCCTATCCCAGGTATCTTCGTACAGTGGGTCGAGTACACCCTGAACTGGTTGCCAGCCAATTGCAGGGCACACATAGACAAGCCACCAATCGCGCTCACAATCACCAGAGGTTGTGCAAGTTTGAATCATAAATAACAGCACTAAGTGGAAGTGCTGTGTGCTGTGACTCAAACATTTCGATGGATAGATGTATACTTTATTCTGCCCATGGGAGAAATTGGACCCTCCCAGCTACTGTATTCACAAAAAAAAAAAAAAAACCAAAAAACAATAGACGAGAAAGTCAAGGCACAAACAAAAGCAGCATTGAGAGGGATTAATGGAAAAGTAACAACTCTAAGCAGTGAGAAAAGGAGACAGAGATGTTGTAATGTTGCTGTAGGGCCATGGCAAGTAATAAATCAAGTAGAAATAGTCCAGTTTACCACAACAGTATTGATCCAGCAAGTAATTTATTATCCAGTTGTAACTTCCCAAAATGATCATGTTGACAACTCTGGGATATTTTTCTGCATTAAAAAATATGCAAGTTTTGTTTGTAAGTGCTACTTATGTCACATAGATGGGAAACGGGTATTTATGACTTTTGGCTCAATATTATTTTTATGATGATTGTTGCCTGCCGTTCAGCAAAGATCACATGTCTTTTGGATACCAGGACTCCTCAAGTTGCCAACTCATTTAATCAGAGCAATTCAGGCTGCTGAAAACACTGATTCACAATGTTATGACATTATAATGAATATGACATTTCTTTGTTTTTGTTTTCCCCTCATTTATGAGTCAGGAACCATATATACGGGTTGTGACTTTGTTGAACATGATTGTCTACATTAAAAAAAATCACAAGTGCCCTATAATTAATTTATCTCCAGTTAATCTGTTAAAAGCAGGTACCTTCAGCATCTTTTTAAATTTTATGTTCATTTGTGAATTAATGTTATTTAAGCAGTTCACGTGTATTGTACATGGATGGTAATGTTACTGTAGTTGGAGGAGCGAAGTGTACGATGCAGTTGGTGGAAGATAGCATGTGAACAGGATTCTGAATTTGTTCGACTGTGATGCTGTGTAGCAATGTTGAAGTTAGCTGCATAATAATTTATAAAAAAATGGTAAAATAGGGCAGCACGGAGCTTGGCTGGTTAACACGTCCGCCTCACAGTGCATAGGTCATGGGTTCGATTCCTGGCCCCTGCCTTCCTGTGTGGAGTTTGCGTGGTCTCTTTGTGCCTGTGTAGGTATTATCTGGGTACTCCACTTTCATCCCACTTTCCAAAAAACATGCACAGTTGGTTAATTGAACACTCTTAATTGTCCTTAGGTGTGATTTTGAGTGTGAATGGTTGTTTATGTATGTGTGCCTCGCGATTGGCTGTCAACCAGGTCAGGGTGTGGTACTGCTGGGATGGGCTGCAGCCCATCCGTAGCCCTCGTGAGGATAAAGCAGTTCAGAAAATAGATGGATCGTAAAATAAATATAAATAAATAATCCTGCCACATGATGCCCATTTCTGCCTTCTCCCACAAGAGTGCAAGCCACGAACCAGCCCTAGGAGAGAATGGGGCAATGTGAGATATTAGATAATGTGAGACACCCCCTACGTCGAGCCAACAAATCAAATTTGTGGTTATGTGACCACAATGTGATTTGGCAGCTATAATGTAAGTGTGGTGTTGAAATGAATCACATTCAATCACATCAAAATTAATTGCATGCATGTATTACTCGTACTAGAACCTGGGTAAATCTGCTCTGAAAAGCGAGTCACCAAATGCACAACCTGGCAGTGTTTGGAAATTATAGATTTTTATCATATTATATTATTATTAATTATAAAGGTTAGTCAGCCTAAAGATTAAGTGCATAATGATTGATGGAATACCATGGTTTTAATGCAAGCTCCCAAATTTAATGAAAAGTCAGTGTAAAGCGGGGGTGCCCATTATGTCGATCCTGATCGACCGGTAGATCTAGGACAGGTCCCAAGTGTATCCGAGGGGTGTAGAGGAGAAGAAAAAAAAAACAACCATTTGTGTGTCTTTGTACATGTTAGTAATATATTTTTTGTGTTAATGTACGCTGCACCCTAATCATCCAATCAGTCTGATTTTGACGAAAAAATATTTAAAAAATAAAATAAAGCAGGTAAATCATTAACCTACGGTGGCGCGTGATCTACGTCACCGGAAGTTGTTAGCGCTCAGCAGTCTGCAATTGCAGCTTGTGATCAGAGCTGTTGCGCTACATCTTTTATCGTCATTATTCTCATTCAGCGTTTGCTTCGTGTGCAATTCACCAAAGGCACGGGCAAAGAATAGGAATCTAGAGGGCCCAGGGAAGTACTTTAAAACGGTACATGTGAGCTATCTAGATAGTTAACAGGCTGCAAAGGTGCATTGCATGCCTCCTGTCAGGGTGTTTCTCATCATGGCGTGCGCGCGCGCGTGCGCAGTAAGGGGCGATCCCGGGAGGTTGGTTGATCGAAAAGTCGATCTGAGGTCCAAAAAGTTTGGGCACCCCTGGTGTAAAGGTTATCTTCGTGGTAACTACTGTGAATAGTCGTTGGATACTGGACATTGCATTAGGCAGAAATGTCTTGCAGACCAACCATCTGTTCTCTTATTTAGTTAATCTGGTTTGCGACTAACTACTGCAAAGTGAGCAATTGACTACCAGAAAAGTCTGGTAGGCAGTCAGGGAACATCTGTTGGAAGCGGAAAAGATACACTCGGAGTGTTGGGGTTATTTACCTATCTCACACACATCCATAAAGCAGTTTTCCCGGACACTGCCTGACCAATCATCTTTGCTTATATGTAGTTAATCCGGTTTGCGAGTGGCCACTGTAAATTGGGCAGTTGACTGTACTCAGAAAGTTTGCTGGCCTATCAAGTAACACGAGCTGACCACAAGAAAGAGTGCAAAAGTGGTGGAGGGGTTAGTGACCCAACTCCCACATGTCCATGAAACTGTTTTCCTGGACACCCTCCACTGACTACAAGTAAAATGAAGAGAGAACAACCTGACGGTCCACTGAGAAGATGGACCAAATAGAATGGCTAATGAATGTAACTGCACGGTCGAACGACCAAAGGACCCGAGGGGTATGCAATTGGTAGGCCAAGGTAACAACTTACTTGGGCATCAAAATCCACCAGATGAAGACTAAAAGCAACGACGGTACTGCAGCAACTAATTAGACACGCAGGAATTGTAGCTAGCACCACATTGCTCTCGATCCCACCATTACATCTGGAGAGGGGGAAGACCCATCTGCCCAGGAAGAAGCGCCACAACACACACAGATGGTGTCATGTATTACATCCGAGCTCAAAGAAGGTCCAAGCACGTTTGACCACAGCTTCCTGTTGGTAAAAATCAAAGTCTGGTGCTGCTGGTTCCTCTTGTACGAATCCCTGATGTGGCCACTGAGACATTACATTGCCAACAGCCATGAAGCTGGATGCAAAAACCAACAATTTCATTCGGAAGTGGCTGGGCCTGAAAACGGCCCTCTTTGGAAGAAACACCCTGAAGCTTCCACTGAAATCGATCAGCGCTGGCTATAAGCTGCAGAAGGCGAGGCTGGTGATGAGCGAGTCACTGGATTCTGATGTCCGTAACGCCAAAGCCCAGACTTGTACTGTACGGAAGTGTAACGTAGCAAGCCGTCAACCAGTCCAGTGATAGCCTAAAGCACCAAGAGATCTTAGGAATGCAGAATCAGTGAAGGGCTGATCGTGCTAAAGATGTGGGCCAAAGCCACAGAGATGGAGAAGAAAGACCTGGTGGCTTCAGAAGTTGAGAAGAATGCAATTAAGATCAGAGCTGTGTGCCAGCGGCAACAAGGGAGCTGGACTACTGGAGGAGCCGTGGTGAAAAGTGCAGATGTGGGCAGATGAAGCCTGCCAGTTCTGCAGCTCTCTGAACTTATTAAGCTTGCAGCAAAATAAATTGAAATAATGAATGTATGAAAAGTCATTTGAAAACCATCTTCAGACATCAGATGTCAGTAATTAAAAGACAAGGAATAACAAAACATAAAAGCACAAAAACCAGAACTTAGACTCTAACACTGACTCATCCAGATGACAACAAACCAATAATTCAGTCTCACAGTCACAGTCAGTGCGTGAGAGGTCTGCTTTTAATACATTGCTGTGAACTCATTAACAAATCCAAGCTCCCCACCTCTCCTAGATGAAAGATAAGTAGACTGTTTTCAACTGCTATTTGTAATTGAACCTACTAATTTTGAAACAGGCTGATTAGTTATTACAGGTAAAAGTGAAGTGTAGTTAATTGCACAAGTACCACAGCACTCAATACAGTTTTCCCCCATTACCCATGATTTTAAATCTTACTTTTCAATTAAATAACCCTTTTAGAAAGGGAAAGTGGCAGAAAGTTTTTTTGCTTGTTTGTTCATTTTTTTTATGCCCTCTTTTTAATGTGTTACTGTATTGTAGAATGTCACGGTTTAATCTCAATCGAAATGATCAACCCTCGCCATCTATCGGTCCATCTATTGTGGCAGTGACAACCTGCAAACAAACAAAAATCAAGCTGCATGTGTGTTTGCGCAGAGTATCAATGTGCCTGAAAGTTTTATGATAGCTCAAATATGTCGGCATGTTTTTTGCATGTATGAAAATAGTGTCCTCAATCCAAATTAAATTCCCAGATAATACGAGTCATGCCAGACAGACATCCTTCACGTCCCTACACTACAGAGTTGGAGAGACGTCTGCAAGATGCCGAGGGAGTCTTCGTGCAGTCGCATCCTCCAGAGGTAAGTCAGCGGTCATGCTTGTCTACCATGTCTCTATTAAGTGGCTACTTGAAGGAATTTAACACATAATTGAGTTTTTCTCGGAATGCAAGGCTCTGAGGGCATTTGGAAGCTCAGGCATGTCACATTGATCCTATTTATGATTATTTCCAATGAATAGAGGAATAAGCCCACAGGGTAATCAGGGTAGGGTCGTCATTATCAGGAGATAAAAATTGGCCTTTTTTATAATTTGATTAGGATTGGAGTGTAGTGTAGGCGAGGTTGTAAAGGCAATTTGTTCAGGGTAAAGGGACTGAGGATAATTTATCACTTGCAAAAACTGATACGTGATGTATATATGCGCCTGTGATTTTGGAAGTCACAGGCCATGAAAGAGTATTATGCTTACATGGAAAAGAAAAAAAAACAGTGTTGTACAGTTGGAAGCAAAACGTTCTGAATGTAAAACATACAGAAAAAGCATCAATCTCATAACAGCAGCATCTCTTTGTCCAAAGATGTCTGACACTGTATATTGCTGTTGGAGTAACATGTCACAAAAATATTAAATGAAGTCAATCTCACATTCCATTGCATGTTACACACAAATCGCCCCAAAAAAACGGGACATGCATGGCGTCTAACCAACATGCTTGCTAACAAAGCTAACGCAACAGTCAACATCTGCGCTTGGTAGTCCTATTTGACACAAAAAGTTCATCATACTGATGCTAGCTGAGATTTTGTATTAAGTCAACAGCAACAGGACAAAGGGGAACAAATTAGTATCATCAAAAGTGCCATCGCTGATCAGATTGTCGTCTTCCAAGGCAGAAATCTCGCATCAACAAACATGATCTAAGAAAAATAAAGAATTAACTTTAAAAAAAAAAAAAAGAATAGGCAATGGAAAATATCCTGGTGACAGCATGAAAATGGACTTCATAGTCTACTGAGCGATCTAGTGAGTACTCAAATTAAGATAGCTACTGGTGCTATTATCCTGTGTGTTTATGTTTTGTTTTGTTTTTTTTAATTAATGTATTCCTGCTTCCATGTTCCTTGTTCCTTGGTCAAGTCTCTTATTGATTGAGTCTTCCATTTCACCTGAGAGCACAGCATAATCCAAAAGGATATTCTGTCGTTTGTTGTTTTTGGTCAGGAATGAGCAAGATTGGGACAAAAACAGCCTTATTTTTATGTGTGTTGCAAGCCTAAGCAAACAGTCGCAGAACATGTGATCTCCTCTCATCCTGTGATGCTGGCTGAAATGAGGTCGAAAGACTAGTGAAGTGCATTGATGGCTCATACCACATACAATGAAGGTTTGGAAGCTGAAAGTTGAGCCCATATTTTGAAATAATTTGTTCGACATGTTTGTTTATTGATTTGCTGGCTTGATGTGAAGACATTCATTGCAATGACAAAATCCTTTGCGCATTGTTTTTACATCAGCATTGATTTACTGTAATCTCTCTTGACCAGTGTATTCTCCTGCTATTGTATTAGGTTATTCTTGTAACATTCCTCAAATAATTCCTTCCCTGTATTATTTGGTAATAATTCTCAGTAATAGATAAGCATGATCAGTTTTCAATCAGTAATTATTTCAGTGACCCAAGACTGCTGTTCATAAGACCAAACTTGACCTCAAATCAGTGCAGTTTTACGTACTTAAAACATAACTTCTCGAAATGTGGTAGTTATTTTTTGATGCAGTTTCTGTGCTCTCAAATTTAGCTGCTCATCAAGATAAGCAGTTAGGCTATTGCGACAGCTCATGATGCAAACACGTGCATTAAATTTGCCCTCAAATAACATTTTCATTTAATCTGATCTAATGAAAATAATGTCGCTGACTATTTTGCAAATCACTTAATCAGTCATGAGTGAGCCCCTTGCGTATGTTTTTATTTAGTTTGTCAAATGATCAGTTACAGAAAAAGGTGAGCATTTTTATATTATGCGTCAAAATACGAGCTAGTAATGCAGATCTGTTTCTCATGAGATATTCCGAACCAGGAATGACCAAAAGCTGCGTGTTTGTGTACAGGTGTTCCAGCAGGAACTTCCAGGTGCAATCCAAGACATTTGGGATTGTTTAACAGAAGAGTCAGACAAAGTGCCAGAGTCCAGCTGGAGATTTGCTTCTCCAAAATCCCTTTTGGACAATTTCTGTCACACCATGCATTGCCTCTTCCGTGAATGCTTTGCCACCACAGAAACACAGCAGGACCGTGAGTAGCCCACCAGGAACAACTTACAATTGAATGTCAATGCTCTTTCACCTTTTCATGTTTGCCCCTTCGTGCCTGCGAAGTTATACCATTTTTAATTTCCAAATGCTTACTACGCTAATGAGAGAGAGAGAGAGAGAGAGAGAGAGAGAGAGAGAGAGAGAGAGAGAGAGAGAAAGATTGTCAGTATGCCCTTGACTCTTCCAGAAAATAAACTATTCAGGAATTCCACTTACTGTTTATAAAAAGTGCAAAAGAGTAAAACCATTACCGGAACAGTGGCATTTCAAACACTTGCTAAAATCATAATACCTTCTTTGTCGCGCAGCATTGACTCTGTCCTGACAGGGCCAACACTGCCAAAACAGTTTTGTGGTGTTCTAGCGTGGCTTGTTTAGATCACTGGTGACAAGCTGTTTGCAAACTGAATCTGCTTAATCTATGGATGCGTGCTTCTAAAATTTGCATAATGAGCATGTATTATCCGGAAAAACATGTTTTCTACATCAACAGAGAGGGTTGTGTGGATAGCTCAACTATGTTATTACAAAATAAAAAACACTGATGAGATGATAATGAGACGGGAAAGCTGCAATATGATGAGAAGCTCATACATGAAGTTTTGTGAGACTTGAGGCATATTTTGCCTGATAATTTTACAACTTCAGGTATTCAACTACTCCTCACATTCCACAGGTTAACAGTAGCAAATGCAAACAGACTGTTTTCATTTGAGCTATAAATAGAACAATCTGAACTTCGCAAATAATTTTGGTTTTATTTTTATTTTTTCAGAATCTGATTCTTTCCATTGTCAGAAAGGCAGGAAGAAAGCCCTCAGGGCAGAGAGCTGAGAGGAGGTCAGTGGGGCGAGGGGGTCCCTCGTCATCCTGAATAGGTTGACCTTGTTGACCTTGAGGGATCTTGAAGGACAATCCACTTCCACAATAATTCTTTTCACAAAGCCTGCTGGATAATGTGATATATATCATTTTGCCCTAATATGTTCATGTTAACATATATCTAAGTAAATGCATAATCCTTACATGACCTAAATTATTTGCTAAAACGAAGCCTTTTTTGGAATGGAGGACCTGCCGCAACCTGCCTTGTCCACACACCGAAGTGTTAACCTGAAATCTGGAGGAAAATGCTTTCCCAGCCATCTGCCTTGAAAAGCCCACCGCGTGCTCTTGAAAATGTGCCTGCTTGGTTCATGTCAAATGAGTCTATACTTCACATTGGATTGGTGATATGACTGGCTGACTTTGTACCACAACCATACCGTTGTACTCTGTTTCCCAGGGCCACTTTTGGTGACTGCAATGTCTGTGAACTTTATCTCTAAAGACTGGCTATTATTCATCCTCCTAAAGCATATTTGGCTATCTTAGGCTTTTATTACATTTTGCTCCAAGTGTTATTCATGTACAGTATTTTGTTTGGAATATTTGCTATGCACAAAAAGATGTGGGTACTTATGGAAAAAAGATCATAAATCTTTCCTTTCATGTTTGACTGTACACTTACTTTGCATCAGAAGAGGCGTGACAGACATGATTTCAAGAGAATATGCACAAAAATGGTAAATCCAGTCGAATTTTTCATGGGTTTATTGCTAGTGATCAAATGATGTTTTGTTTTGGTTTTAACAGCATATACAGTATTTCACTTACATCAACATGCGCTGGCAATCCAGGTTGTACAACTGCATTTATAAACTGTGCATTACAAACACACCATACTTCTTACATGTCATACTTATGAAGTAAAAAAACAAAATTATGCTTTTTTTCCAAACCATGTTTGTGACCTAAAATATTAATGCTTAAAAATAATTTTTCCAATTCAAAATAATGCAAAGGAACAGAATGTGATATTCAGAAAAAGCAGGACACCTTAAATATAAAGCACAATATCATATCAGTTTGTCAAAACCTACTGGCGCAGCTCAATACTGATGAAAAATACCCGGACCCCACATAGCAATAATAAATGCCCTCAGAAAACCTATGAATAATAATAAGATTTAAAGTGTAAATTGTTCCCGTAGCTCATTAAAATGTATCTAAAGAGTTATGAGACCAACACCAAGAAGGATTATAGGGCCTCATAGAAAAAGCAGAGATTAGTTTTCAATCCATATGAGATGTTATGAGATGATAGTTTTGTGTAGGTTACAAACACCAATTCAAGTGAATTTGGGACATTTTGTAAAATGTAAATAAAAACAAAATTTACAAATCGCTTTCAACTTATATTCAGTTAAATACACTATAAAGACAACAAATTTAATGTTCAAAAGATAAATATAATTTATATAATATTCATGTGGGTTTTTTTTTTTTTTCAAATGTTCTCTCATTTTCAATTTGAAGCCTGCAACACATTCCACAGAAGCTGGGACAGGGGGAAAACAATAATCATAAAGTTGAGGAATGCTTAAAAACAAAAAAAAAACAAAAACAGTCTTGAACATTCCACAGGTGTACAGGGTAATTGGTAAAAGGTGAAAAACCAACATTGAATGCCAGTTACCTTCTATCCCTCAGGTGGCACAACATGACAAACCGCCAGCACTGTGTGAAGGATGTTGCAGTGTGGGCTCACAAACATTTAAAAAAATCATTTCAGTTAACCCAGTTCGTCGCTAAATCTCCAAAGGCAGGTTAAAACTCTGCCGTGCAGAGCAAAAACCGTATATCAATAACACCCAGAAACGGGCTTCTCTGGGCCTGAGCTCATCTGAAATGGACAGATGCAAAGTGGAAAAGTGCACTGTAGTTTGACAAGTCCACATTTCAATTGTTTTTGGAAATCATTGACATTGTGTCCTCTGGTAAAAGGAAAAGGATTGCTAACAGTGCAAAAGGGATGGCATGGAGGTGTGTTAATACCCATGGCAAGAGTAATTTGCACATCTGTGAAGGCATCATTAATGCTTTAAGGGTACATCATACAGGCTTCGGAGCATCATACACTGCTATCAAAGCAACATCGTTTGTCAGGACAACCCTGCTTATTTCAGCAAGAGACTTTCAAGCCACATTCACACGCGTGGTTTCGTAGTAAAAGACGAAACTAAAGTTGAACAATAAGTAAGCAGAGGAAAGAATTCCAGTTAAAAAGCTTTAAGAATTAGGGCCCTATTTTCGTGCCCAGAGCAGGTCTGGCATAAAGTGTACACTAACTGTACTCATATGTGGCATTTTCTTTCTTTTGGTATTTTCATAGACTGACACAGTTAGAAAGGGGTGTTTTTGCTGTTGCGGGAGAAAAGGGCCAATTTGCTTCCTGGCAACTCATTCCCAAACTCTGCAGCAGAAATACACTTGCCGGAGACCATGAAGAAGATCAAATCATGTAAAGTGTGTTTATCAGGAACTGTAAGCATACCTCTACTTGCGAATGATGTAAAGTTGGTCACAGATTATTGCTGTGAAGTGGGCACTTGAAGACCACCTTTCACCCTTTTTGTGTCCATATATGACACTATCCCCTCCCCCTAAAGCTGTGCCGGGGAGTGAAGGTGCACTACTAGCGGCCTCCCTGGCCCAGGCGCTGGCCAACTGTTTCCAAAAAAGAGCTGCTATGACTGGCCTTCCCGGTCTACGCCGACTTGATGACTATTCACTATTTTGTCGGTGGTGGGTGCAGCAGCTGGCTTTAGGACGACTTCATGAAAGCGGCGCAGCAGCTACATGGGGGCGGGGAATTAGTGAGCCAGGCGTCAGAAAAATAGCCACCAAACTAGCTAATATTTCATAAGAAATTAGATCGCCATTGTGTCAAGGTAATATATCATCATATACTGTATAATGTATGCCTTTAGTTAACTGTGAAAAGCTTAAAACAAACTATTTGTCATAACATTACTATTTTTTTTTCTTGTAACTTTATGTCAAAATTCTCAGAACTTTTGGACCTAATTCTTGTGCTATTAATTTACCATTACAAATACCATTTTGGGTAAGGAACTACTATTATACTTGAATAATGACAGAATTCTCAATGCCGATATAAGGCAGCTGTGATACAGTGAGAACAGTGAGTGGTGAAAGTGAACGAATTGAAATGTTCAGCACTTGTGTATATAGTTATAAAATGACGTGATTTTATTTTTATTTCTTTTGGAAAGGGTGCCCTTTGCTAGATAACGTTTTGCACTTAAGTGCAGTAAGATTTACTGACAGTGCAAAAATGTCCGGAAAAAAACATTTATTGTAAATCTTTACATGGGAAGGTCTAGGGGCCTAATAATGTAAATCATCATTAGGGCTAAGCCAGGGGAAGCAAGCTAGAATCCAAAAATAACCCACATATGCACTTATTTCAGGTTCTGTGTGGAAATTTGCAGCACACGTTACAGTTATGGTGAGGTTTTAAGTCCCTTACAGAAATAACAAGACATACTTTTGATCTACTTTTATTTTGACTTGCTGGTTTAGTCAGTTTGTGGTTGTCCTACTTTGTCTATAGTTGCATAGAAATGTTTTAAGTTGAAGTAACAGAAATAATTGGCTGCAAAAAGAAGCACTGTGAAAGGTCGAATGCATTTTGAAATCATTCTTTGATTTGTTCCTAAACAAAAAGGCCCACGTGATTGAAAATTTCGGAATTGGCAGTTACTGAAAAAGCACTGAAAATGCAATGTGGTACGTATTACACAAGCGTGTGTAAGTTTCAGGTACGTGTATCATGCGTGTCAAAAGAACATACTTTTATTTGTGAAGGCTGTTATTTCCAGTTAGTATTCCGAGCCCGTCTACATAATTAAGTCGGAAGAATTCCAGGGCACCGTTCACAAAACATATATATCAAACCCAAACTACGAGTTTAATTGTGGGTTAGACTATTGACCGGCACCTCGACAAAAATATCCTGTGGCGTTTGCTACTTTCAGGTGATATTTGGGCTGTGACACCTTATTGCTCCTTCACCATCATCATTCACCCGCTCAATGCCCTGAGTACCCAGCTCGAGAACATTGCAGTGCTTGAGTAATGTCCCTTCTCACCCAACCTGGCCTTGTGTACATTTTTGGATGACATCAAGATGGCACGGATGCAAAAGCTGTGGAGAATCCTGGAAAATAATCCTTCCAGGAGTGCATGAGGGCATGACACAGAAGGGGGATTACTTTGAAGGGGAAAACTTGTAGTTTGGATTTCGAATATATCTTTTGTCACACCAGTCCTGGAAATTTTCAGACATACGTCCTATGTGTCAGTCATTACATTAAGATGGGGTTATTATGATCATTGGTCATATTTTGGATCTGAAATCAACTCTGTGATGTTTTTCATACCTTTTATGGGGATTGATTTTTCAAAGAAATGTGTACAATAATTGCTGGAATTATGTGTATTGCTGTACAGGCAGCATGTATTTTTGCTGACACTATCCATCACGCCAATCAAATGTAATGATACATGTTTGAAATACAAATATGTGCGTATCAAATGGTTTGTTATCATGAAGTGCTATCTGCCACCTCTGGATGACAACAGGCAACAGAAAGATGTCTGCAAATATATATTATTGTTGTTTGCTTGTTTTAAACATAGAGCACATTTTTATACACAGGATAATGAATTTATTTATTTTTGAAAAATGTATCATGCATACTGTATGTGACATTGCTTTTATGAAAGAACTATATTAAATAGCTATTTTACCAAGTAAATATGTGTCTATAGTGCTCTGAAGTAATTTCATTGTGTCAGGAATATTTCAGTATGTAATAAAACATCTCTCCACTTTTGAGTACTTTATTGTCCCTCATGACATAATGGCTACTTAGCTAGGAAATGCATATAAAGTATGTAATTCGGTGCTTTAAACTTCAATTTGATGAGAGAACCATTTACCCAAATTTTAGATACGCATGATGATTAATGCTAACACAGAGTATTGTTTCCTTTCAGTACGGTACATACGTGTTAACTGTCACAATTTATTTGATATTGACAAGATGCATTTTTCAATAGGTTGGAAAGGTTAAATGAGTTTTTTGGGCATAGAAACAGGAAAGCAGTTTTAAATACTGCATTGTATGTATTTTAAATTGTATATAATTTTTTATCCATCCATTACCGATTAAATTTAAAGTTTTCATAATATAGTTCACCCACGATCCTTGTGAGGATAAGCGGATAAGAAAACGGATGGCTGGATGGATGGATAATATTGTTCATAGAATTTAAGTAATGTTATATCGGAATAAAACAAACTACTTTAACACGAATACACACACGCACGCACACTCGCTACGCGCGCACACACGAACACACGCACGCATGCACGCACACACATGCATTCGTACCTATATATACGAACAAGTAAACGATTGTTTTCTTAATTTCTGTTTGACCCTAACAGGTTGCCATTACAAAGCCGGACGTACACAGGAAGTCGTTTTGTTTTAATTAGGGAACGAAAAGCAAAACATTTTTTAAAATAATGTAAAGTCAGTCTCACGTAAGATGTATTTTAGATTAATTTTTAAAACATATTGAACACATAATTATGGCATGTTTTTCCTTTTGCTTCGAAACTGATCGTCAAAGATCGTTTTACTTTGAAAATAAGAAAGGAAGTGATTTTTTTTTCCCCTGAGTATGTTTACAAATTAGCCCGAGGTTTGCTACTCACCAATATTAGTTACTTTGTGTTGTTTAGGTTCAACTGCGAGTGTTCCAATATCCAATATCTACTAAAAATGTCATCGTTGGACGGAATTAAGATGCCAGGCCGCCTTCCGTTGCTTTTGACCCACGAACGGGTCCTCCTTCCTGGCTCGACGGTCCGCTTCAACGTAGATACTCCTCGGAACATGCACCTGATCAAGCACCGTCTGCTCAAGGGGACTTCGCTCAAAAGCACCTTTATTGGAGTGATTCCCAACACCAGAGACCCCGCGAATGATGCCGACGACCTCCCCACTTTGCATAAGTAAAGTTGATATTCCCATAAGACGGAGTTTTAATGTTTTAGGAAGGACACCAGTTCAAAGTATGTAAAATACATAAACCACTAGAAAAATGATAAAGTATACTTTTGGGCGGGGGCAATTTTTAATTACTTTTGTCACAATCATAAGTTCTCATGTATTTC